AGAGAAGCTTTGCGCGCGCCGCGACTTCCCATTGGTTCTCCGCGACTCTGCTTACAAGAGGCGAGCTGATTGGCTGCTTGTGCGGTCGTGCTGCCTTGTGAGGTATAGGCCAGGAAGCGGGAGGTACCGCCTTCCTTCCGGCCCGGCTAGCCTGGAGGAGGAAGCGGGGTGAATCCGGTGGCTCTCGCGAGCATTTTCTCAGCTTCTACGGGCTGGAATGGGGGTGGCTCTTAAAGGGCGCGAGAGAGTGGTCGTTGTCTTTCGTTCTTCCCCATTAACGTGAATGGACATCTGAAGCTCTGCCACGCAGAGTCTAGCTTCTCGGACCGACGCGTATGTACGTGCGTGCGGTCTAAGCTGTTTGAAAAGCTTTATCGCTGACCATATGCGGTGCGCCACACCTCATCGTGGCTTCGCGAACAAAAGTTCAGAATTCTGGCCTTTAGGATTGGATCAGGAACTTCGCCGAGGCTGGAGCCGATCGGCTGCGCAGGAGGGTTTCCTATCGTTTCGTTGCTAGCTACTGCGGGTTCTCTTTGGATCTGGGACTTCTGGGGGTTGAAGGGTGAAAGGGTTGCCTGAGGTTGGAGACCCAGAGTATCTGAGAGCATGCGTGTTGTTGTTTTTTAACTGTTAGCGTAGAGGTGGGGAGAATGTTGGAAACGTTGGAACTGTTAAGAGTTAAGCTTTCCAATTGTCTCTCCCTTCGCTTCACTTGTGTGCATTCAAATATTTGAACTCGGAGCAAGTGCTAGATCACGTTTTTCTGGATAAAGAGGTGAACCGAGTAAGTAATATAACCCTAATGGAGTTCACAATCCAGTTGAGTTTATAACCGTTCGTGAACTTTTTTATTTTTTCGAGACAGGGTTTCTCTGTAACCCTGGCTGTCCTGGAACTTTGTACAGGAGGCTGCTTGCTTCTACCTACCAATTGCTGGCTTGCTGGCGCCACGGCCACCTAACAGCCGTAAATCATTTTTAGAGTTTCGTTTGTTTGAGAGAGGATCTTGGTGTTGGCCTCAAAATCCGGGCAATACTCCTGCCTCAGCCCTCGGAGTGATGGGGTTACAGATGTGAATCACTAAACCCAGCTGTCATACACATGAGAGTGCATTGACACGGAGTCTAATTCTGAATTGAAGAAGGGAGAATGAGTAAATTTATCTGTAGCGGGGCCTAATATGTTTGAGTAGCTGCAAAAAGGACAATATGCTGCAGCAACACAGGAAAAGGTAACTTGAGGGTCCTTTTAAGCCAAGCGTAGCATTTGAAAGGTTCAAATGTAGTAGCAGCAAGAAGAGACTCAAGTTCAGGGTTTAGGAACCTCCTAGACTTATTCAATGTATCCCTCATCAGGCTGTTATTCTGTATCTTTTATAATATCCTTTGGAATGGATAAAGTGTTTCCTTGAGTTCTAGGAAATAGTCAAGCAAGTTATCAAACCTAGGAATATTACCTGTTTGTCAGATGCATAGGTTTCGACCACCAACGATTACTAGGTAGGCATCCAAAGTGGGGATAGGCCTAGAGACTGCTCTTAACTTTTGGGATCTAGTACTAACTCCAGGTAGTGTCAGAATTGAACACGCAGCAGGTGCCTAGTATGGGAAAAATAGGCATCTGGTCACAGATGTTGAATGTAAACCCTTTATGTTAATAAAATGAATGCCTATTACCTTGGCTTTGAGGATGCTAGGAAACACTCTACCACCTGCTGTATGTACTGTGTCTGCAACCCCTTCCTGGGGTTACTTCCCGCCCCCCCCACCCCAATTAGAGCCC